GCAGTAGTAGTAGTAGTAGTAGTAGTAGCGGTCATAGTAGTAGTCGTAGTAGTAGTAGTAGTAGGAGTGGTAGTAGTAGTAGTAGTGGTAGTTGTACTAGTAGTAGTAGTAGTAGTAGTAGTAGTAGTAGTAGTAGTAATAGTAGTAGTAGTAGTAGTACTAGTAGTAGTAGTAGTAGTAGTAGCAGTAGTAGTAGTAGTAGTAGTAATAGTAGTAGTAGTAGTAGTAGTGGTAGTAGTAGTAGTAGTAGTATTCGTAGTAGCAGTAGTAGTAGTAGGTGGAGGTGGTAGTAGTAGTAGTAGTCGTTGTCTTAGTAGTAGTCGTAGTCGTAGCCGTAGCCAGGCTAGTCGTAGTAGTCGCCGTCGTTGGCGTCGCAGTAGCCGTAGTAGTAGTAGTAGTAGTAGTCGTACGGTGAGTAGGAATAGGAGTATTAGTAGCAGCGTGAGTCAAGCTAGCCAGCTTGAGCGGGTCAAGCATGGCATGCCCATTCCCACCCGCGCTCCCATATCATAAGGAATATTGCTGGCACTGCCAGGGCCCGAACGCCCAATACACGTGAAAGTGGTGGCAGTAGGACCAAGAGTAGCAGTAGTAGTAGTAGTGGTAGTAGTAGTAGTAGTAGTCGTAGTAGTAGTAGGAGTAGTAGTAGTAGTTTTAGTAGCAGTAGTAGTAGTTGTTGTAGTAATTGTCGTACTAGTGGTAGTGGTAGTAGTAGTAGTAGTAGTAGTAGTAGTAGTAGCAGTAGTAGTAGTAGTAGTAGGAGTCGTAGTACTCGCAGTACTAGTATAGTACTGGTACTAGTATTAGTAGTAGTAGTAGTAGTAGTAGTCGTCGTAGTCGTAGTAGTAGTCGTAGTCGTAGGAGTAGTACCCGTAGTCATTGTAGGAGTAGTCGTAATCGTAGTCGCAAAAGAGATCTATATGGTAGTAGTCACCGCAGTAGCAGTAGTAGCGGGTAGCGGTCATAGCGGTAGTGGTAGTAGTAGTAGTAGTAGTAGTAGTAGTAGTAGCAGTCGTAGTGGTAGTCGGTGCTAGTAGTAGTAGTAGTAGTAGTAGGAGTAGGAGTAGTAATAGAAATAGTAGCAGTAGTAGTAGTAGTAGTAGTAGTAGTAGCTGTAGTAATAGTAGTAGTAGTAGTAGAAGTAGTAGTAGTAGTAGCAACAGTAGTAGTAGTAGTAGTAGTAGTAGTAGTAGTAGTAGTACTAGTAGTACTAGTAGTAGTAATAGTAGTAGTGGTGGTGGTAATAGTAGTAATCGTATTAGTAGTGATATTGCAGTCGTAGTCGTAGCCGTCGTAGTAGTAGTAGTAGTAGCAGCAGTAGTAGCAGTAGTAGTAATACTACTTTCAGTTGTAGTAGCAGCAACAGTAGTAGTAGTAGTAGTAGTAGTAGTAGTAGTAGTAGTAGTCGACGTCGCAGTAGTGATATTTGCAGTAACAGTTGCAGTAGTCGGAGTAGTCGTAGTAGTAGTCGTATTAGCAGCAGTATTACTGCTAGTTAGACGTAGTAGTCGTAGTAGTAGTAGTAGCAGTAGCAGTAGTAGTAGTAGTAGTAGTAGTAGTAGTAGTAATAGTAGTAGTAGTAGTAATAGTAGTAGTAGTAGTAGTAGTAGCAGTCGTAGTAGTAGTAGTAGTGGTAGTAGTAGTAGTAGTAGTACTACTACTGGTCGTCGTCCTCGTCCTTGTCCTCGTCCTCATCCTCGTCCTCGTCGTTGTCATAGTTTTCGTAGCAGTAGTAGTAGTAATAGTACTAGCAGATGTAGTACTAGTAGTAGTAGTAGTAGTAGTAGTAGTCGTTGTCGTAGTTGTAGCCGTAGGAGTAGTCGCAGTAGTAGTAGTAGTAGTAGTAGTAGTAGTAGTAGTAGTAGTAGTAAAAGTAAAAGTATTTCTAATAGTAGCAGCAGTAGTCGTAGTCGTCGTAGTAGTCGTAGCTGTAGTAGTCGTAGTAGTAGTAGTAGTAGTAGTAGTAGTAGTAGGCGTAGTAGAAGTAGTAGTAGTAGTAGTAGTAGTAGCAGCAGTAGTAGTAGTAGTAGTAGTCGCAGTAGTCGTAGTAGTAGTAGTAGTAGTAGTAGTAGTTGTTGTTGTTGTTGTTGTTGTTGTACTTGTAGTTGTAGTTGTAGTTGTAGTTGTAGCAGTAGTAGTCGTAGTAGGATTAGGAGTAGGAGTAGGAGTAGGAGTAGGAGTAGGAGTAGTAGTAGTAGTAGTAGTAGTAGTAATAGTAGTAGTAGTAGTAGTAGTAGTAGTAGTAGTAGTAGTAGCAGTAGCAGTAGCAGTGCAGTAGCAGTAGCAGTAGCAGTAGCAGGTAGTAGTAGTACTAGGGTCACCCTCCTCCTATGGCCGGAAGCGTCCCGCCCAGCTATGGCCGGTATTTGTGTAAGGCCGGCAATATTGGCATATGGGAACCGAGTACAAAGCACGAGGAAGTCACATTTGGTTTATGGCCGGATGCACATGCGCCAAACGATTTCCAAAGGATTCCGTCGGTAACTTTTCGCGTTCCTGATATTGCCCCCCAGAAGCTCGCCAGAGCCCTTGAAGCGCCATTCGGGTTCCTGTTGAATTCTTCGCGATTCTCGGCGGGGCCGTTCGGATTCCGATTCGAAGCGACGGCACTCGAAGACTATTGAGGAATCCTGAGGCATCCTGAGGACACCCGAGGAATCCAATGGATATCTTACAGAATTATCAGCGCCTCTGAGGAGTCCAGAAGACTCCACAGAATTCGTTGGTTCCAGAACATGTCCTAAGGACTTGTGGGAGCTTCCGAGGGGTCTTCGAACATTTCTGAGGGCTTCGGAGAGGCTTCTACACGTTCCGAGCGGCTTATGACGGTTGCCTTGAGGCCACTGGGAGCTTCCGAGAAGCTTCTGTGGGCCTCCGAGAGGCTCTGATAATGTTTGAAGAGGTTGTTCAAAGCTCCCGAAAAGCTGTTGAGGCACCCCGAAACGCTTCTGATAGCTTCCCAGAGGTCTCTGAAAATTACCGAGAGGCCCTGAAAGCTTTCGAGAGGGTCTGAGAGCTCCCGAAAGGGTTTCTGTAAGCTTCCGAAGATGCATCCGAAGCGTCCCGAGAGATCTCCGAGAGATCCCTGGGAGCTCCTGAGAGGCCTCTGACATTTCCCGAGAGGCCTCTGGGAGCGTCCGAGAGGCCTCTGAGATTTCCCGAGACCCTTTTTGAGAGCGTCCGAGAGGTTTCTGGAAATGTTCCCGAGAGGCCCCTGAAAGCCCCCGAGAAGCTTCTGAGAATGCCCGATCGGCTTCGGAAAGCTCCGAGTCAGACTTCGGGCAGCTCTCGAGAGGCCTCTTGGATTTCCCGAGAGGATTCTGCGCGCGTCCGAGAGGCCTCAGATTGCTCCCGCGAGGCCTCTGAGCATTCTTAGAGGTCCTTCTCAAATCTTTTGAAATTCTTAGGAGGCTTCTGAAAGCTCCCGAGAGGCCCCTGGGAGCTACCGAGAGGCTCCTGAGAGCCTCCGAGGGTGCGCTGAGAGCATGTGGGGCCGCATTAAGGGCCCTCGGGGCCGACTTCGAGATTTCTCGGGGAGGCGTTTCCAGGCGCTGCCAGACGCTCCCAGGCGCTCCCCGGCGCTCCCACGCGATCCCCGGGGCTCCCAGGCGCTCCCAGGCGCTCCCAAACAGTCCCAGGCGCTTCCCAGGCGCTCCTGGGCGCTCCCAGGAAGGCTCCGCTGGGAGTTGCGAGATCGCCACGGAACGTCCTAGGTCGCCAAGAAACGCTCCCCGGGCCCTGGGCGGCGGCCCACGAGGTCGCCAGGCGCCCCCGAGGATTCTCACGATCATAGGGGTGGTATCGCAAGGGAGGCGCGCGCGAACCTGCCGTAATTTACGAGGGATCCCGTCTCGGACGCACGAATATCAAGTGTTTCTACGCGTCCTCCAGAAAAGGTTTATACCTTTGCGGCAGACAAGAGCATGCAAAAGCGAACCGCGCGGGCAAAAGGGTTCCAGGTTCAGAGTTTTGTTTTGGTGACGGAGCGCAGCACTGTCGTCGGCTTGACTTCTACCTGCGGGCCTGACTAGCGCTCGCCCCTCGCGCGTCAGTTTAGTGCTTCAGGGAGGTAGGGCTGAAGTTTTGTAGCCTCCAACAAGGGCGCTGAAAGGCAGAGGGTGGGGTAGCTAAGCCCTCCCCCCCCTTTTTGGCAAGGGAAAAGGGGGTGGGGGTAGCTTCTGGGCGGCTACAGGGGAGGCGGGGGGTTCCCCGCGGGCCGGGGAGCAAAAATAAAAAGGGTGAGGGGGGGTAGCTTCCAACAGGGGCGCCCAAGGGGGGGGGGGCAGCTAAAACTTCCCCGTTCGGGAGGGGGTGGGGGGAAAGGGGGGGGGGGGCAGCTTCCGGGGGGGGGAAGGGGGGGAGCTTCCCTTCCAACGAGGAGGCCTAAAGGGAGAGGGGGGGGGGGCTGAAGCCAAGCCCCCTCCCCTTTGCCCGGTCGTCGCTGTGGGCGCGCTCTCTGGTAGGTAGGTAGGTAGGAAGGTAGGTAGGTAGGTAGGTAGGTAGGTAGGTAGGTCGGTAGGTAGGTCGGTAGGCATGACGCACTCCCAGAACGCAGCCCTAGCCTGAACACGGGCAATCATGGAGCGACGCTGCAAGGCAACTGGGCCACCCATCGGGTGCATTTCGGGCGACGCAATCTAGTGCTGTCAGCAGAAACAAGCTCTTCGCCTGCTGGGGGGGGGGGGGGGCGACGCGGACATGGGCCCTCTCCTCAGGGTCAGGGAGGGACTGCGAATCCGCCGAGTCCAGCAGCAACCGCACCGCATTGTGCAGACCCGTTTGCGCACGCGTACACTTCTTTCTTCGTGCGCTCGATGCGCCTTGGAGGTTGCGTTCGCGCTTGTTCGCGGGAGCTGTCTCGAGAATCTCCTCGTGGACGGAGCCTTGCCACATCCTGGTCACGATGCCCACCGCCTCTGGAGCCCCGCGGGGACGTCGCCTCCAGAACGGCACTCGAAACTGTGGCCAGGTTGCCGCTTGTCATAGCCACGGAATTCCAGGACGTATTTTTTGAGTTTGACGGGCTCCATGAACGTCGCCAGCGTTACCTCGATGGGCTTGTGCTGCTTGTCCTGGTTGTTGCAGTGGGCCTGCGCCGTCAACAGCGCCGCTATTCGGGAGTGCTGGCAAGGGATTCCCGTCTTGTGGCCCTTCCTGCCCTCGGTGGCCTCCTCGTAGCTGGCGACCGCTGTTTGGGGGGATCGTTTGCAGCCGCCCCACGAGCAGCAATGCGACCGCGACTGGCATCGGGTGGAAACATTGCGGGTGCATTGATTGTCGCCGAAGCGCGGATTGAAGCCAAATGACAATGGCGTGAATGGCGACGCAAATCATCCAGATAATCGGGATCACATAACGAACAAAAAATGTCATTATGGGATCTTGCCAATGCGTTGAACAAAATTTCTGGACCCAGCGCAGAGGCCTCGGCGAACAAAACTCGTGGGAGGGTCTCTTGCATTCGCGCGGGGAGCAAAACCGTGACAACATACGCAGCACGGGTTCGTGACAGCAGGCTGAGAGGCTAACGGGAATATCCCATGCCCAATAAAGTAATTCTGACGCTTATGGGCCTTCAGGGTGCCGATAGTCAATAGAAGAAACCATCCGGCAGCACCTGTCTCCCCTGGAATTCAACAGATCGTTAGACAACATCGCCTCCTCCATCAACGCAATTGGCAACGCAGAAGTCTGTCTACCACCTGGCATCCTCGCTCCCGGAGGTGGGATCGCAAATGTACGACGCAGCACTCGAAGATCAATTGTCCGTAAATGCTCGGTCAGCTCAGGATCGACGTAGACCTCGGCGACCTCGGCAAAGTCACCACTCGCAGCTGAAGCTCCCGCATCTTCTGACACCTGACGTGCCCAGGGGTTTGCGTCGGGCAGCAGCCCCCCCCCAAGCATCAGCCACCGCATGTCCCAGAATTTTGCCAGATACTGTGCGGGCAAGACTTGCGTCCATATCCACTGCAGCTTAGAGTTTCGGGCTTCCTTCCCCAGAAGCCCGAGTCGCACTGGATATGGGTAGACATCTGGTCCCTACAGGCTCGATGTTTATCCATATCCAGTGCGCCTCGGCCCTGCGGCACCCCTTTCAAAAAAAGTCCAGACGCACTGGATATGGATATAACATTTGCCCGCATACTGCGCGGGCATACTGGATAAACATCGCGGGTGTCTCGGACACAGACTGGTACCATCTCAGGCGCCCACTGCGAAGCTGAAACTCCGCAGAGCTGAGTTTTAAGAACTCCCAGCGAGCTTCACTAGTAGAGGGCGCACCCACATGGCTGCGAGAGGGATAAGGACGCCGCGCCATAATGGCTCTCCGCCCTAAATCACTCCATGCCTTGTCGATCAGACTAAGACCAGTGTAAGGCGCAACGTAAGCAACGACACCAGACAATCTCGTCGGAAAAAGACGAACAACCAATACATTGGCGCTACCATTGTTTTGGCTCGCGTCGTGCTTCCACCAAGACAAGTCATAAGCGGGAACGCCATTGTGAATTCGAGCTGAAGAAGTGCCCACCTCTATTTTCGAGGATGTCCTGGGCGGGTGCGCCATTTTGAAATCGAACTAGAAGGGTGTCGAATTCCAGATTTCACGAAGTCCTGGGCGGGGGCGCAATGTCGACATCAAACCCGAAAAGCTCCGAATTCTGTTCCGAGGGAAGTCCTGGACAGGCGCGCCATTGCGAAGTCGAACCAGGAAGGGTTCGAATTCTAGTTTGGAGGAAGTCTTGGGCGGGAGCGCCATTTCGAAGTCGAACCCGAAATGTTCGAAATTGTTCGAAATTGATTTGTGTTGAGGAAGTCTCAAGCGAAACCGTCATTTCGAAATGGCCACAACGTTTGACAATACCACTTTTCATTTCTGACGAGTGATTTCGAAATTGTGGTTGTCGCCTGAGACTTCCTCCAAAAAACAATCTCGACTGGATTTCGAAACCATCGGGTTGACTTCGACAGGGTGGCTCCACCCGAGACCTAAGCAAAACAATGCTTGAACAGAACATTGCACTGGGGCCCCGCGGCCTAACGGGCCCCTTTTGACGTCTCCTCTCTTGTCGCGGGCGCAACGCCATTGACAACGTTGTACTGGGGCCCCGTCGCCTAACGGGCGGAGCTGCATTTCGGACGAACTGTCGCAGCGGCGAAGTACTGCAAACTTTCCGCGGGTATGAGCCCAGAAACGGCCAGACCGAGCAATGTTCGCGTGGATATTCTCAAGCCTACCAAGGCTGAGCACCACATCAGGAGCAAAGCACGACGATAAAAAGTGACGAGAGCCAGGGTCGGAGAAACATACAACTGCTTCAAGTTGCCCCTGATGCTGGAGAAGAAGGCGGAGAGAGGAGGAGGAGGAGGAGGAGGAGCAGCAGGAGGAGCAGCAAGAGGAGGAGGAGGAGGAGGTGGAGGAGGAGGAGAGAGAAGGAGGAACAGGCGTAGGATGAGGGAGGAGGAGGGAGGAGGAGGGAAGAGGGAGGAGGAGGAGAATGGAAGGGAGGAGGAAGAGGAGGAGGAGGGAGGGAGGAGGTGGAGGAGGCGTTGGAGAGGGTAGAAGGCGGAGTAACAAGTGCTGATGAGGAAGGAAGATGAGGAGGAGGATCGAGGATGATAATACTGAGGAAGATCGATGATCGAGGGTCGAGGTTCAACTTTCGAGGTTCGAGCATAGAGTTTTCTTTTCTTCGATCGAGAACCAGGTTTCGAACGTCGAGGATCGAGGATGCAGGGTCGAGTTTCGCATTTGTTCTGGGAATACACCAGCAGTTGTTATTTTTTGTCACCCAGAGTTTACGTTTTGTTCTGCCACCCCAGGACGCTTCTCGTCGCCACGGCTATATCCGCTTCGAGCTTCTGGCCAGGACGCGCCACTAGAGGGGCCCAGAGGCAGCTTCTTGAAGGGACAGCAGGGGGAGGATGTGGAGTAGCAGGAGCAGGAGGCGGCGGCGGAGGCGCAGGTGGCGCGCGAGTGAGGGCGATCAGGCATATCATGCCATACGTGGATTGCGGTGCGTTCTTTGGTTCTGTCGTAGCAGGAGCAGGAGAAGGACGGGGAGGAAGACCGAGAATCGAGGTTCTTGGATTCTTGGACCGTCTCTGACCTTCCTTCGGCCTCCACAGGCCTCCGGAGGCCTCCGCGGGTCCTCCAGAGACGCCTGCCGGCAGGACGACGTCATCACGGACCGCGGGGTCTCGTCCGCGCTGGACGAGGTCCCCCTCCTCACCGTCGTCGCCGTCGTTGTCGCCGCCGTCCGTAGAGGAGGGTGATGCGGAGGAGTGAGCTCCGAGAGTGCACCTCCAGAGCTTGTCCCCTCCATTCCAGAGGCTCGAGCCTGCAGTGTGGAGGCTTTAGCCTCAGGAGCAGGGGACGTACGCACGCAACATCCGCAGTCCATGACATGAAGCGTACATCGACGTACGTAACCTCCAAAGTGTCCACGATATGAAAATCATGACTTGTTGTCCGCCGTTCTGTTGGCTCGCGCGTCCAGGAGGGAGACCTTTGACCCCCAGACTTTCACAACGGACGTCTAGTCACGTCCAGAACGGAGCTTGCGACCTGGAGATTTTGGACCTTCTGGGTCGTCGCTTGCCAAGAGGGCATGGGGGGTGACGCCACGCCGACACCGACGACTGCGACGATGTTGGCGACGGCGGCGGCGGCGGCGGCAGCGTGAGTCGCCGCCAGCCGTTATGCCGTGTCAGGGCGGCTTGTGAGTGGGGTAGACGGCTCTTCTTCCTCCTCCTCCGCTTCCTCTTCCTCCTCCTCCTCCTCCTCCTCCTGTTCCTGCTCTTGTCCCCTTCTGCCCTTCCTCCTCCTCCTCCTCCTCCTCCTCTCCTCCTCCTCTCCCTCCTCCTCCTCCTCCTCCTCCTTACGCTCGTCTCCTGCTCCTCCTCTCCTCCGTATCATTATCTGTTCTTTCCTCGCCCCCATCCTTCTTTCCTCTTCCTTGTCTCCTCCTCTTCGCTCAGGCACCCCGCTTGCTGGAACCCCAGAGACAGCACGCTCGGGCGGGCTCACCGTCAGCCTCGTCGGACCTGGCACCCGCGGCCCGCACGCCTGCTCCCAGGGCTGGGCTGGAGGCTCGAGAGCGGTGCAAGCCCGCAGGGCTCGTTCCCACCAGTCGGGTGGTCTTGATACAGAATGGTCCCATATCATGATCATCATCATCGTCATCATCATCATCATCATCATCATCATCATCATCATCATCGTCATCGTCATCGTCATCGTCATCGTCATCGTCATCATCATCATCACCAGCATCATCATCATCGTCATCGTCATCATCATCATCAGCATCATCATCATCCCTGGGTGGATTTCGCTGCGCTCTCAGTTGAAGAGGATCGGGCTCCATGCTCTGCAGCTCTTCGGGGGAGCGGTGCTCTGCATCCCGAGCAATTGGTTGACGGCCTTGGTGCCCAGCCTGCCCCCCCCCCAGAGAAGCCCGCCGTTGGGGGGCCACATACGAACCCTACCCCTACCCCCCACGATTTCTGAAGGGGAGGGTGGGGTTCACTTCGTTCGGGACCTCCCGAGCGAAGTGAACCCCACCCTCCCCCTCAGAAATCGTGGGGGGTAGCGGTAGGGTTCGCATGTGGCCCCCTAGCCGTGGGGAGGTGGGGCCTGGTGGTTTTCGGGCCATTGCTCGGACGTCGACCGTCCGGGACGCTCCGGGTGTCCCGGGAGCGCTCTCGGCGAGCCGCGGCTGCTGCAGAGCACCTCGAGGCGAGAAAGACCCCAGCAGCCGACGAAAACGGTCGAACACCTCATGAGAAAAACCGTCGATGGGTCTCGTCCGCCCCGAGAGCTCTTCCGCCACACACACACATTAGATGCACACGCAGACCCCCCCCAGTGGATTGCCTGATGGCGGCGTGCATAGAGCACCACCGAGAGCCAGAGACTTTACACGCGCTGCCCTCCCAGACGGCACAGGGCCAACCCGTCGGCGGGCTTCCGTGCAGAACATTTCTCATGGCGTAGGTCTGGTACCCGCTGCCCCACGCCTGCTTCGCCGGCGTGCCCTCGGCCGCGCTCGGCCCCCTCGCCGCGGACGACGCGTGCCCGGCGGACCAGCAGGCGGATGCCGGCTCGCCGAGCACGCCGCCTCGGGGGCCATCGGCGCTGGGGGGCGCGGAGCTCGGGCTGCTCGGCCTCTCCGAGGCTGGCGAAGGGTCGTAGCCGCCGCCGCCGTCGTCGCCGTCACCGCCGAGGAGAAGAACGCGGATGACGACGATGAAGAGGTGAAGATGATGACGGCGGTTGTGGTGGTGATGAGGACGATCAGGACGATGGGAAAGGTGCGGACGAGGATAAGAACGATAACGACTATGATGACGGCGACGCTGACTGTGATGAGGGCGAGTTGTGAACAATGGTGGTTGTGGGGAATGATGAGTGGCTGTGATAACAGCGACGGCGACGATAATGGTGGTGAGTGGGGAGTGGTGATGGTGGCTGGTAGTGATGGTGACGACGATGGCGATGTTTTGTTGTTAATGTCCACGATGATGGTGACTGGTGGTGGTGATGACAACGATGATCATGACAATTTCGATTGTGGCCATAATGATGGTGATGGCAGCCACGGCGAGGATGAAGAAGATGATGATGATGATGATGATGATGATGATGATGATCATAATGATGGTGATGATGACGATGGTACTGGTGAACATGATGAACATGATAATGATGCTGAGTATTCAGACAATCATGTTGCTGACGATGATGCTGATGCTGATGCTACTGATGTGTATGATGATGATGCTGCTGATAATGATGATGATGCTGATGCAGATGATGATGCTGATGCTGATGTTGATGGTGATGATGGTGATGATGATGATGCTGATTATGATTATGATTAGGTTGTTGCTGCTGCTGATGATGATGACGACTATGATGACGACCATGACGATGTTTGATGATGACGTTGACGATGGATATGAAGATGACCGTGAGTGGTGCATGATGATTATGGCGGTGGTGATGCTGGCGACTATCAAATGGCCTTCGGCCCACCCCGGGGGTCTCTGGGGTGCCAGTGGGGATCTCTTGGGAGGACTTCGCCGTGGAGCTCCCCCTTTTGCTGCGGAGAGCCGAGTCGCGTGGGTCGCCGTCGTCACTTTCTTTTTGGTTGCCTTTTTTTTTCTTCTTCTTCTTATTCTTCTTCTTCTTCCTCCTCCTTCTCCTAAGAAGTGCGTTGGGCGCTGTGGCGCGAGCGCGCGAGCCCGCAATGCTGGTCTGACTTGGTCGGCCCCTCCGATGGGGGCAGGCGGGGGGATGGGCGCGGGGGGGGCCCAGGAGCTCTCGGGGGTCGGCGCGGGGGAGTTACTGCCATGGCGGGGTCCTGCAGGCCGGGCGGTGGACGCAGCTGCTCGGGAGCCGCTGGGGGAGGAGGGCGGTGACGAGGACGACGACGAAGGAAGGCAGTGAAGCGCCTGGGCCGCGCAGTCTCCTCGGCCCCCCCCCACCCCCCCGAGAAGGTGGCCGAGTCGGACGGCTCGCCGCAGCAGCCAGGGTCCCCCGCGTGCTGGGAGGAGGCCCCATGGCGAGTCGAAGCCTGCTGGGCCTGGGCCCCACGGAGGAGCCCCTCCTCGGTCTTCGGCGCTCCTCCTCCTCCTCCTCCTCCTCCTCCTCCTCCTCCTCCTCCTCCTCCTCCTCCCCTAGACTGGGCATCTCGTGAGCAGTGCCCCACGACATCCGACGGTGCACTCTCTTGTCGGTGCGCAGCCCCAGAGGTCCAGACCTCTTCCCCAGGGCCAGCTGCAGCTGTTCGTCTGGGCTTTTTTTTGGCGGCCCCGCGGCCCAGAAACGACCTGGGTCCCCTGGCAGCGCGCGCACCCATCGGTCGTTGAAAGCAGGTATTTTTGGATTCCCAGATTCCAATCTACTTTCAGCGCCTTCCTACTTCAAGAGTCGAGTGGTTTTCCCTCTTCCTTCCTCTTCAGGAGGTGTGCGGAAACCCAGTCTATTTCCAACGCCTTCCTACTTCATGTTTCTACCTACTTCTTCCGACCGATGGGTAGGGGTGGCAGGAAGCTGAGGTGGCAGGAGAGCGCCGCGCGGGCTGGCGCCGAGAGGTGCTGGGAGAGTGCCCCCTCTGCTGCGCCGATCCGGGCCTGGGCCTACCGAGTACCCGGCAGGGTGGCGCTGAGCCACGGTTTGACCGGAAGCGTTTGGCGCTTGAGACGTTGGTGCACAGCAGTAAGTGCACCACAGTGAAGGATCCAACGTGCAACCCCAGCGCAAAAATCCAGCGCAGAGATCCAATGTAAAGATCAAACGCGAACCAGGGCTGGACCTAAACGGTGTTTTTGGTGATTCCGTGGGCCGTTTTCGTTTCGACTTCGTTTTGCGGTAAAGGCGGATTCGAGACAAAAGAGAGGGAGAACGAAAACAAAACGAAAACGAAAAACACCGCTTAGGTTCAGCCCTGACGCAACCATCCATCGGAAAGGTTCAACGTGCAGATTCGACGCAATAGATCCTAGATCTCCAACGCTTGGACCCCGGAGAGCCCCGGGACGGCCGCGGCGCACGCTCCACTCGTTGGGGTCCGCTGGCTCTCGGATCGCCCCCGCGTGCTGTCTGGCTCTGGCGCTGCTCTCGCCTCGGCATCGCTCGGACGGGTGCCCTTCTCTCGGCGGGGACCATCGAGGAGCACCCTGGATCCTCGAGCCCGTAGAAGACACGCACGGAGCCCGAAGGTGCACGGGAAGTGGACGTCCGAGAGATGGCAAGTTGCCCAGCGGGTCCACGACGCCAGATGCCGAGCTGTCGACATCGCGCGGGTTACGCTGGCTTCTGTTGAGCAGCAAGCTGCGCGCGACCCCTCGACCCCCAAGGAGACGGGAGGGATCGGGCACGGCATGCCCGGAGTGGCCAGCACATCAAGACGTGGCTTCTGTCCCGAGCGGAGCAGAAGGATCTGGTGGAGGAGGGAGGAGGAGGGAGGAAGAGATGGAGGGCTTGGCATCGCTCGGACGTGTGCGTTTTTTCCTCGGCGAGGACCATCGAGGAGCATCCTTGATCATTTGGCGAAAAAATCGCGCACGAAGCCGAACAAAAGCACGGGGAATGGACGTCCGAGCGATGGCCAGAGGGGGAACAGGAGATGGATGAGGTTCCCCGTGCCTGCGGTCGGGAACGTTTGCTCACTCTGTCGCGCCGCCGGCCGGCTCCGGCCCACCACGCCTCGGCGCGGCACGCGAGGAAGCACGCCCCAGTCCCCGAGCATCACCACTCCGAGATTTCCCCCGCCGCCCGTCCCACGAAGCACAGCGGCACGACGCTGCCAGCCTCCGAGGCAGCGTGTCGCAGGAGCCGCCCCCGCGGCACGCTGAGCAAGGCCTTGGCATCGCTCGGACGTGTGCATTTTTCCTTCGTCGAGGACCATCGAGGAGCATCCTTGATCATTTGGCGAAAAAGCCACGCACGAAACCGAAAAAAACACAGGGAATGGACGTCCGAGCGATGGCGAGGAGCAAGGCATCCTCACCGAAGCCCCGCCGCCCGCCCCCCTCCCAGGCCCCCGCGCACGTGTTTGGCTGTCCAGCTCTCGACCCCTGCCCGGGCACTTTCGTTGTTTGCCCTGAACAGTTTTGCTGATGGCCCTGGCCGGGCCCCGGTCGCGGCCCACGGAGCGGCCGAAGTCGTGCATCCCAACGCCGCCTCTCTGCTCCGTACTTCTCAAGCGCTGGAGGTCCACCCTGAGGTCTGGCGTTGCGACAGAATTGCAGCTCCGCGAACAATCACGACCATGGGCCCTCGACGCCATCTTGGTCCCAGGGGCCGAGATCGTGCGCAAGCGCCCAGCGTGAAACAGTTGAGGCGCCAGGATCTCAGGGTGGCTGTGGCCCTCGCACCCGACCAGAAAGTCTTTGTGTCCAGGATGCAATTCTTGGGAGAAAACCGATTAGCGCAATCTCATCGAATCTGGCGCAACTCGCGAGCAGTGGCGAAGCGTCTTGGCGTGCCTATAGGCCCACCAAACAATGTTCTAAGAACCTTGTGTGGTTTCGACGGAATGTTCTTAGAACATTTCTGGCTGGGCCTGGCTTGTTTTAACACATCGGGCTTATGTTCTAAGAACCTTGTTTTTGTTCTTAGAACATTTTTGGGTTCTAAGAGCATGTCGTGGGAGGCCTATAGGAATGCCGGGACGGTCGCCTCCTGCTCAGAACTCTGCGAAAGGTGGCTTGGTCCCGAGCTCAATCTGGCCCAATCCGGCTCAGTGGCCCGGCAATCGGGCTCAATGACGATTCCATTTTCGCCCCGAAGGCCTCCCAAGAGTCCCTTCCTGAGAGTGTGGCCCCCGCTCCGACTTCGCGGCCAGCCGAAGAGGTCGCCTTTCCGGACTGCGGCTCGCCCGCCCCCGCGCTGCCCCCCACGGCGGAGCCCCCGGCCGCCACGGCGGAGCGCTGCAGCGCCGCGGCGGCGCCCGCGGCGGTCTTCGCGGCGACGGCCTCCGCGCCCCCAGGGGCCGCGGAGCCGCCGCGGCCGCCCGCTGGCGGCGCCAGCACCGGCGCGGACGCGCAGCCGGCGCCCGCGGTGCCGGCGCCGGCGGCCTTCGGCGGCAGCGCCGCGGCCTGCGCCGCCGCAGCCTGCGCCACTGCAGCGCCTCTCGCAGCGCCGGCGGAGGCGCGCCGGCGCCGGCGGCGGCGGAGCGCGCAGAGGCCGCGGCGGCGCCGGCGGAGCGCGCGGCGCCGCAGAGCCGCGTGCGCGGGCAGAGCGCGGAGGCGCCCGCCCGGGGCGGGGCGCGGCGAGCGGCGGCGCCGCGCCCGGCGGCGGGGCGGCAGCGGGCGCGTCGCGCCGCGCGGGCGCCCAGGGACTGCGCGGGGGCGCAGACGCGCAACGGTGTTTCGGGGGCAGCGTTAGCTCCTGGCGTGGTGGGCCTGTTTTCCACCACCACCACATGTAGGACGGGGGAGGATGGAGGATGAGGAGGTCCTCTTCTTCCTCCTCCAGGAGGAGGAGTCCTCCTCCTCCTCCTCCTCCTCGTCCTCCTCCTCCTCTTCCTCGTCCTCCTTCTCACATATACGGTAGTGGTGATGGAAAATGGGCCCATCATGGGGTGGATGGGTTCGGGGGAGGTTGCCTTCGGTCGTCTGCCCGTGTAGGTGCACCTTCGCCGGAGTGGCCCGTCTGAGGCGGGCCTGCAGAGGTGGCCCGAGCCGCTGGCCTGCGTGCAGGGCTCTGGCCCCACGCGGCCCCCGAAGAAGCCGCGCACGCAAGGCTACGCTTGCCCTTGGTCGCCGTGGCGCGTAGGCGATTTCCAAGGTCACCCCTTGCATCCTCCCCCTTTAGGCCCATCCTTGGCCGCCTTCGCTGGCCGCGTCCCGGCCGCAGAGTGTCGACAGGGCCTTCCAAGGCCCTTGCATCCTTACCGCACATCCCGATTGCACGGGTTGGCTGCAGGCGATTCGGGGGGGGGAGGGCAGCGTTCAGGGGCAGTGTTGGCTCCTAGGGCAGCGTTGGCTTCTGGGGGGGGGCTCAGGGGCAGTGTTGGCTTCTAGAGGGGGGGGGGCTCAGGGGCAGTGTTGGGTTCTATGTGCAACGGTATTTCAGGGGCAGTGTTGGCTTCTGGGGGGGGGCTCAGGGGCCATGCCGCGGCCCCAATCGCCCACTCCTCGCCGACAGGGGCCCGATGGTTCACCCCGTCCAGGACCACGCGGCTTCGCTGTCGGGGGCGCCGATATATCCGGCGATGTGTCGCTCGTTCCACACCGACATTTCCCCCCTGGAGCCGGCACCCCCTCGCGTTGCCCCCCATAGGGGCAGGTCGGCTTAAGTTGGGCCTGTCCGTCTACAGGGGGAAAATGCAAAAATAGTAAAAACAAAAAAAACATAGTCTGGGGACGATTCTTATTTTTGAGCATTCGGGCAGCATTTTTGGGGTATTTCTAATTTTTCGCCCCAAAATCCCCCTGTAGGGGGACAGGCCCGACCTAAAGGTGGGCCCAGATCTGCGACGGCCTGTTGTTTTGTTGATTTCTGGTGTCGGCTCCCTGGGGCCCGTCACCATCGGGCCCCGGGGCCATCAGCGACTGATCTGGGACGAAGACCCTGAGAACCTGGCGCTGGAGTTTTTTCAAAGCGCGCGTTTTCGCTCCGTTTCGGGCCCCCGGACCCTCACATATCGATCCGGCTTTAAAAACGACGCAGAAGGATGGGATCTGGGGCTCCTGCCGCGATTTTTGTGATGTTGCATTTTTGTTGCAACGTCGGATCTCAGGGGAAGTGTCCCCCCAGGGAAGGGGCTGGGACCTCCCTGGGGCCGCGCACTAAGAGGATCACACAGTCGGACGTCTGGGAAGACAGGAAAGCTGGAATGCGGCCGCCAGGCATGCGAAGGACGAAGGACAGGATTGTTTTTGTTTCGGTTCCCCGCTTTTGTTTTTCGGGCCAGATCGGTCTGTGATGGCCGCGGGGCCCGAAACGGGCAACGCCAGGATCTCAGGACCCCCCCGGGAATTGAACAAATCTTGCCGTCCGAGAGCTGCCGGAACATTGTACATAATGCGTGTGGTTACGCCAGGGCGTGGTTTGCAATCGTCGCCGTGTGGGCTTGGGGGGTCATCACGCTGCGCCACAGGTTTGATTAGCCCTCGTCGGGGCGCGGCAGGGATCTCTGTCGAGGTCCTCGCCCACCCCTCCAGGCGCAGGCTGCAAACCACGCCCTTCACAAACCACACCCTCCGGAGTCGCTGAAGCTGGACCCGCAGAGGATCGCCTGCCCACTCCGGCAGCGGCAGCCCAGACGGCAGGCGCGGCGCCGGCGCGGCTAGCAGGGCCTGCGCGGGCGAGCGCCGCCGGGCCGATCGCTTCGTGCTCGAGGCGGGCGTCGTTGTCGTCGTCGTCGTCGTCGTCGTCGCCGTCGCCGTCGCCGTCGCCGTCGCCGTCGCCGTCGCCGTCTACGGCGTCGCCGCCGTCGCCGCCGTCGGCGGAGTCGTCTTGTCGTCGCCGTCGGCGTGGTCGGTGTCGTTCCCAGATTTCAGTCGATTTGTTTTTCAACATGGGCGTTCTTCCTCGACCTCGGCCCTCGGCTTTGTGCTCTGGGCCCGAGGGTTCTCGAAAGTGAGGCCTGTGCGAAAGCTGGCCCATCGATAGGGTCGGGATCTTGTGGGGCCTCCTCCTCCTCCACCTCCTCGCTCCTCGCCCCCCGCCCCCCGCTCGTCACTCTGCCCGAGCAAAATTCGCGTCCCCCCCTGCCTGCCCCACCCCCCTGTCCATTCCACATGGGTCGGAGGAACATTGGATGTGATCATATAGAACGCGGATTTTCGAGGGCGTCGGAGACGGCGCCTCGGGCCCCCCACCTTCCCTAGAAACTTCGGAGTTTCCGGCCGCTTCTTTGACTTCGACGGTCGCTGTTGCTGCCGCGAGGGCAGGCTCTGTGGCAGGGGTAGAAAGAGGAATTATTTAATCGCTTCGCTCATTCCGCCGGCCCATGCAGTCTCATGTCTGCCGTTTTTCCCTAGGGCCTGGTGTCAATGCGGCGCTTTGGGGGTTATTTTGCCAGGCGTCTCGGGAACCTCTTGGAGGCAGTGTTGAAGCCTCTTGAGGCCCCGTAAGGGCCGTTTGGGGGTCGTTGGGGCTTCTTGTTGGGCTTCTTGGATGGTTCTTGGGGCGTCTTGGGGGACTTATTGGCGGGATGTTGGTGGCTTCTGAGGTGCTCCTAGGGGCAGAATCCCCCTTTGGGCGCCTATTGGGCGGTCTTGGTGCTCTCTTGTGCCGTCTTGGGGTTATCTTGGGCCGTCTTGGGCCGATTCGCGCTCCCGGGTGCGGGACGCTTCCCAAGATTCGGAAGCCACCGATGGCGCGCCAGGGTAGCCGTGGCTCGGATGCACTTGGCTTCAGGGCGCTTGATCATCTCATCACATCTTGGATTCTGAGCTGTTTTCCTCTGATCACGTACAGTTGACGACAGTCCGCGCTCGCCCTCCGTCCGCCCCAACGTGCTTGCTTGTTGCCCATGCCGCTCCCCTCTCTCTCTCCCGGCCAGTTCCCTCACTCGTCTTGTTTTCGGTTTTCGTCGTCATCATCCTCGCTTCATTCTTCGACTGCAGTTTCCAGCTTTGCGATGGATCGTCCGCTTTGGGTATTATGATGTTGATTCCAGTGTGTATCCAGTTGCCTCCGGCAAGTCCCGAGACCATGCTGGGGTTGTGGGTTATAAGCCTGTTGGATGTTCGTTGGGATACCGTGTGCTCGCGGCAGCGTTTTGGGGGCTTCCTGTGGCCGCTTGGGGGCCTCTTGGTGGCTTCTTCGGGGCCTTCTGAGGGGCTCTTGGGGGCCCATGGGGGCCTCTTGGGGACCTCTGGGGGCCTCCCGGGAGGCTCTTAGGACTGAGGGCTCGAAATGTTGTTTCGTGTTCCCCCTCTGGGGCCGTTCTTGGGGCCCTCTTGGGCCGTCTTGGGGGCGTCTTGGGCTGTCTTGGGGCGCTCTTGGGCCGTTTTGAAGCCCTCTTGGGGGCCTTTTGGGCCGTCTTGGGGCGATCTTTGGGGCCTCTTTGGTCGTCTTGGAGCGTCGGGAAGCGGAAAAGGCGAGAATGCGAAAATCCTTCAAAAACCTGAGGGAAATCGATGAATTCTGCCTCTTGGGGACCTCTTGGCAGGGCTCTTGGAGGCTTCTTGGTGCGTCGGGGAGCCATCTTAGGCGTTTTGGAGCGATATTATGGCGTCTTGGAGCTCTGTTGGACCATATTGAGGGCCTCTTGGGGGTCTCTGAGCTCTTCTCGGGGCTCTTGGGAGGCCCTGAGGGCGGCGCCCAGGAGCAGAACCATCCCCGACAGGGAGTTGCCCAGGGACCTGGTCAGGGTACTTTTCGTCCGGGGACCCCCAGGGGCCGCCCCGCGCGCGCGAACTAGAAAATTGTTAAGCAGTTACCGGAGATCTTAGCACGCCTCTGGCCCGTTGGGCCGGCGAATTTTTGTTCCTGCGCATGCGCGCGGATAGGGGCAGCCATCCATCGGGGGCCAACCAACCTTTACAACAAACTTGAGCGTCCAACCCTTCGAGTTTGTCCAGCTAGCTCCGTTGCCATCGTCCGTAAGTTGGGGCGGGTATGGCGAAATCTGGAGCTCGCTGGCATCTGCAGGTTGGGCGGATGCGGAATTGACTCGCGGCGAATGCAATGGCGGCGGTACAACGACACCAACGCTGGGAACTAGTTCGGGCAGCACTAGCCTATTGACAGGGATAGATTCCCCAGCGCTCGCATCAAAATCAGACATGCCGTGAACAATGAACAACGAGATGGTGTCCGTATGGCGTCTGGCCCTGAGCGACGCAGTGTGCATCGCCGATACCTAAAAAGTACTTGAGGTCAGACGTACATGCTTATGCGCGACATATGTGCGTTGTCTGATCTCTGGTGCGCCTTGTTGTGAAGCTGACCTCAGTGACCTTGCTGAGTGTGATGTCAAGCCGGAGTGCCCAAATCTTCTTGAATTTCCCAATATTGTTGAATTTGCCATGGCAAAATATGATTGTATTGTTGCGCGTTGTCCTGTCCACAGAAGCCGCCACGAGGTCGCCACACGTTTGGAAGCGGCGCAGGGTCAGCAAATGCGTGCGATACCGTAGCCAAGTACGACCATCAACGCAGTTTCGGTGAGGGAACGTGAGAGCGCGAGAAGTCTGGAAGCAAGGATGTGCTGTGTGAGCTTGTGCGTGGCAGGGATTATATCGTCGCGGTTGCCCGCCTGAGGGCGACGCGCATCGCCCCAGGCCCGCTCGGGCCCGCGGCTCTGTCGTCCTCCTCCTCCTCCTCCTCCTCCTCCTCCTCCTCCTCCTCCTCCTCCTCCCCTTCCTCCTCCTCCTCCTCTTCCTCCTCCTCCTCTGCCTCCTCCTCCTGCTCCTCCTCCTCCTCCTCTTCCGTCCCCCCCCCCTCCTCCTCCTTCTCCTCCTTCCTCCCTCCCCCCTCCGCCCTCCTTCCTCCTCCCCTTTCCTCCCTCCTCCTCCCTCCCTCCCCCCCCCCCGTTTCTCTATTCCCCCATTCCTCCTCCCTCCTCCCTCCCCCCCCCCGATCCTCACTCCTGTCTCCTCCTGCTCCCCCTCCACAATTTCTCAATATGAATACTACTCTCCCTCTTCACCTGATGACGGTTTGAAAGTTCTCGACCCCCCCCTCCCCGCGTATTGTTTTTTTACACACAGGTTTCCCCGGAGTTGGGTTTTCGCCTGCATTTGTTTTCAAAATGCTGCTCTGGCTGAGGCGCCGGCCTCATTTTCGGGCCCCGCTCGTTCCGAATCGTGCTCCCGTTGCAGCGCTGGCCTCATTTCCGTGCTTCCGCTCGTTCCGAATCGTGCTCCCGCTGCAGCGCTGGCCTCATTTCCGCGCTTCCGCTCGTTTCGACTCGTGCTCCCGCTGCAGCGCTGGCGTCATTTCCCGTGCCATGCCACGGCATGCAATGCAATGCTAGGTTGATGCTACGCTTTGCGGTGCTCTTCTACGCCATGCCATGCCGTGCTCTACAATGCATCGCGTACCCTTTCGGGATTATTGCCCTGCTCGACATCCGACTGTGCGAGTAGAGAGGGGATCTACGCAATGGTAAGGGATGGGAGGGAGGGGTTAGGATGTCAGATATGACGCGAGCGCACCTAGCTTGATCCTCCCCCCTCCCTCGCCCCTCCCTCCTCCTTCCCTCATCCCCCCCTCCTTCCTCCCGCCTCCTTCATCCCTTCTCCCTTGCTCCTCCTCTTCCTCGTCCTCCTCCTGCTCCTCCTCCTCCTCCTCCTCCTCCTCCTCCTCCTCCGCATCATCATCATCGCCCCCCTCGTCGCCCTCCTCTTCATCCTCCTCCATTCCTTGTCCTTCTACATGATACTGGAGAGAAGCCCAATTCTAGTATTTTTGGGCTATAGGGCTATGGGGCTATAGGGCTATATGGCTATGGAACTATAGGGCTACAGGGCCATGGGGCTATAGGGATATAGGGCTATGGCGCTATAGGGCTCTAGGGCTATAGGGCTGCCAAGAGGGCTCTGGGATTGTAGGGACTACAGGGCTATAGGGACATAGGGCTATGAGTCTACAGGGCTATGGCGCTATAGGGTTCTAGGACCATAGGGCTATAAGGATATAGGGCTTAAGGCTCTAGGGCTATAGACATATATATATATATATAGAGCTATAGGGCTATAAGGCTATAAGGCTATAAGGTTATAGTGATATAGGGCTATAGGGATACAGGGCTATAGGGCTATTGGGCTACTGAGCTATTGGGCTATAGGGCCATAAGGCTGTTGGGACTATTGGGCTGTAGGGCTATGGGGCTCTAGGGCGATAGGGCTATTGGGCTGTAGGACTATAGGACTATACGGCTATAGTGCTATAGGGCTATAGGGCTACAAGGCACCTGGGCACCCGGGTCCCCAGGCGGGCCGCGAAAATCGGTGGCAAATTTCACCGAACAATATGATACCGGAGGAAGCCCGACTCAAAGCCTTTTTAGGGCTATCGGGCTATGAGGCTGTTGGCGGTATGGGGTTGTGGAACTATAGGGCCATAGGGCTATAGGGCTCTGGGGCTCCGCGGCTATAGGCCTATAGGGCCATAGGGCTATAATGATATAGGGCTATAGGGCTCTAGGGCTCTAGGGCTATAGGCATATAGAGCTATAGGGCTATAGGGCTGTAAGGCTATGAGGGCATAAGGCTATAGGGCTATAGGGATACAGGGCTATAGGGCTATTGGGCTATTGAGCTATTGGGCTGTAGGGCCATAAGGCTGTTTGGACTATTGGGCTGTAGGGCTATAGGGCTGTGGGGTTCTAGGGCTCTAGGGCGATAGGGCTATTGGGCTGTAGGACTATAGGACTATACGGCTATAGTGCTATATGGCTATAGGGCTACAAAGCACCTGGGCACCCGGGTCCCCAGGCGGGCCGCGAAAATCGGTGGCAAATTTCACCGAACAATATGATACTGGAGGAAGCCCGAATCAAAGTCTTTTTAGGGCTATCGGGCTATGAGGCTGTTGGCGGTGTGGGGTTGTGGAACTATGGGGCCATAGGGCTATAGGGCTCTGGGGCTCCGCGGCTATAGGCCTACAGGGCCATAGGGCTCTAGGTCTATAGGGCTATGGGGCTATAGGGCTATAGGACCATAGGGCTATATGGCTATAGGGCTATGGGGCTATCGGCATATAGAGCTATAGGGATATAGGGCTATGGGGCTATAGGGCTATCAGGCTATAGAGCTATAGGGCTATAGGGCGAGAAGGCTATAAGGCTATAAGGCTATAGGGCCATAGGGCTATAGAGGGCTATATGACTATAAGGCTATAAGGCTATGAGGCTATAAGTATATAGGGATATAAGGCTTTTGGGCTTTAGGGCTATAAGGCTATAGGGCTATAGGGCTACAAGGCTATACGATTATAGGGCTATAAGGCTATAGGGCCATAGGGATATAGGGCTAGATGGCTATATGGCACCCGGGCACCCGAGCACCTGGGCACCCGGGCACCCGGGCACCAGGGCGGGCCGCGGAAATCGGTGGCAAGCCTCACATAACCATATGATATGGGAGAAAAACCCAATCATGATCTCTTTAGTGCTACAGGGCTGTAGGGCTATAGGGCTATCGGGCTACAGGGTCTATAGGGCTACAGGGTTATATGGCCATAGGGCTATAGTGCTGTAGGGCTATAGGGCCATAGGGCTATAGGGCTCTGGGGCTCTGCGGCTATAGGGCTATAGGGCCATAGGGCTATAGGTCTATAGGGCTATGGGGCTATAGGGCTATAGGACCATAGGGCTATATGGCTATAGGGCTACAGGGCTATAGGCATATAGAGCTATAGGGCTATAGGGTCGTAGGGCTATACGGCTGTAGGGCTATAAGGCTACCGGGCTATAGGGACAAGGCCATAGGGCGATTGTTTTTTGGGGCTATAGGGCTATAAGGCTATGGGGCTATAGGGCTATAAGGCTATAGGGCTATATGAAATATCGCCTGCAACCCGTCAGGTTGCCCTGGAAGCTGACAAGGCCATGAACTACCACGTGCCCCTCGCCTGCACAGGTTTGCCCAAGAAGGGCCGACGTGACATGCACCACTGCGGCTGGCCGTGGCCGGGTGACATGCACCACACGTTGTTTCTCCCTTCCTGCCCTCCTTCCTCCCTCCCTCCTCCTCCTGCTCCTCCTCCTGCCCCCTCTTTGCACGAGCTGGCGGCCAGAGTTTCGTCCACGTTCGCAGGACAACCCTGCTACGGGCGCGGTGGCTTTGCGAGCTTGGAGCCCGGAGCTATTGCAGGGTTTTTCCTTTAGGGGACCCCGTGCACGGCAGGGACGAACTGGCAACATTTTGTCTTACAGTCGAGTGCCGGCGGATGTCCCAGCCGCGTGGCCGATAGCGTCGTTTTTTGGGCCGGCGTGGAGCGAAAAGGGGCTCAAAGTTGTACCGCACCTCCTGGTGCTTCCTCCTCCCCTCGTCCTTCTCCTCTTCCTCCGCCTCGGCCGCCGCACGCTTCGACGCGATGTGGTGCAAGCTATCGTGTCCCCTCTGTCCTGGCCGCGTGGCCGATGGACGCTGGAACACGGTGCCCCGAGCAGCCGATTTGAGCTGCCCTTCCCCCTCGTCTCTGTCCTCCCGCTCTCGCCTCCCGGGGGCGGAGCGCCGGCTTACCCTGCTGGGGTGGGCCGGCTCTCCGCCTCCTCTCCCGGTCTCTTCCTCGCTCACCCCCGAATTGGCGTTCGCGCCGGCTGCACGCGGAGGGGGCTGGTGCTGGGCCGCTCGGTCTCGCCGGCCGCTCCCTAGTCAGGGAGTCGCCCCTAGCCCGTACTGTCCAGCCTTCCGGCCGCCTTCGCCTACCACGTGGCCATTTTCATGTGCGGTTGGGCCGCTTTCAGAAGCTTGGGGAGTGCTGGGGGTAATTGGCACTTCACCCGCACGCTGTGTTGCTCCTTGCTTTCCTTCCTCCCTCCCCCCTCCCTCCTCCCTCCCCCGGGCTTCGTCTTGGTGTCACCATGCTGGTGCCGGTGGTGCAGCTGTTCGGACGACGAGTCCACGCTGGGCACTCCCAGTGTCGCTAGGTGCGCGCAGGCTGATGTCCCCCTCCTCTCCTCCGCGTCGTCCTCCCCGCCCCTCCTCTCGTCCTGTGGTGTCGCCTTCGTGCCAGGGTGGCATGGCCGCCAGACGCAACCTTGCCGTTTCTGAACCTGGTCGAGTCCAGGGCTATTGCAAGTTTTTGCTTCCGTCGCCTTGCGGTTGGCCTCGCTCGCGCTGTGCGTTCAGGATAGCCCCCTTGAGGGGCAGCGGATTCCTCCTTCTCCTCTGCTTCCTTGCCTCAGAAAAAAAGGATATAGGGCTATAGAACTATACGGCTATAAGGCTATAGGGCTACATGGCTATAGGGCCATAAGGCTATTGGGGCTATAGGGCTATAAGTCGATAGAGCTAGCGCGATAGGGCTATGGGGCTGTAGGGCAATAGGACTATACGGCCGTGGGCGGCGGCGCGCGCGAAGACTCCGCGTGCCGAGGGGGAGTCCAGGCGGCAGTTGAAGAAGAGGATCGCGTCGCAGTTCTTCAAGCGCCGGGTGTCGGCCAAGAACGCGGCGAAGCCGAGCGAGCCGCAGAGGCGGGTCGTGCTGAAGCATTGAGCGTGATGAGTGACGCGGCTATCGGCAGCGAGGTGGCCGCGCTGACGTTGGGCCAGTGGAAGGCGGACATCGCCTCGCGCATGTGCCGCAGCGGCCCAAGCCAAATGACAATGCTGGAGATCGGTTTCGGGATCCTCACCAGTGTCAGGAGAATACCAAGTTGCATTGGAGATTTCGCTAGAAGGTTCCTTGTGGGCGTCGCGCCACAATCGCCGGAGGCTGGTGTCGGGCGTGATGTGCTGCCCCTGCCAGTAAGGGAGCCGGCAACCTTTTTCGCCTGGGAACGTGATCTGAAGAGAAGAGGAATGTTGGACGGTGAGGGATCCCCCGTGGATGTTACGAAGTGGCCAGCTGCTCTAAAGAAAGAGGCCCAAGCCATGGCGGTCGAGGTGTGGACTTTCCTGAGCGTGCTGGGCCTGAACTACCTTTACCTTGGGCACCTGAGCAAGGACCGCTGGGAAGCAGCCGGGCGCCTTTCTGAGGTGCAGGCCGCCAGCCTACGCGTGATCGGTGAGACGGTCGAGTGGCACGTGGGCGACGCGTTGGCGGCGGTGGACATCCCGTTCTGGCCTCAGGAGATGAAGAAGACGAAGTCGAGCTACGATCTGGAGGAGGACTGTCGGGCGCTCCCCTTGAAGTTCGGCGAGCTTGAGCCCGGCCTTCCCAAAGCCGAAGATATCGGCCGCTTGGACGCGCTGGACTATGTGGGGCCAGAGCTCAAGGAGGTGCTCACCAAACCCGAGATGTCGCTCTTGCCGGAGGCCGAGTGGCCCGAGTCGCCTCCGAAGGCAAAGGTCAACGTCGAGAAGCTGGAGGACTGGTGGGCCATCGCTGCCAAGCTGGTGGAGCGTGGACTGCTGGCCCCCATACCAGCTGAGCGCATCTTTGTGGCCCGCGGCCGTCGCGTCACAAATGGGTTGTTTGCTGTGACAAAGTCGGGGTCCCCAGCTGAGGGAGAGGCCAGAGTGACACGTTTGATTTTCAACATGGTCCCGACGAATACGTACCTTCGACCGTTGGCAGGGGACTCAGTGACTCTGGTACCCTCGCCGGCGTGGGTAAGCATCTCCCTTGGCCCCGAGGAGGTGCTGCTCTGGAGTGGGGACGACCAGAAGGGAGCTTTCTTCATGTACCGCATCCCTGCGCCGTGGCTTGGCTACATGGCGATCTGCACCCCAGTCCCCGGCCATGTTCTTGGCATGAAGGCCAAGGAGATGTGGCTGGCCATGACAGTGCTGCCCATGGGCTGGGTGTACAGCGTCCCGATTTTCCAGAGCGTCCACCGGCGGGTTGCGCTTCTGGGTCGCCCTGCTGGCGCCGCCCTCCCAGCTGACCTGGAGTGGCGGCGCGACCGTCCTATCCCCGCCGCTGCAGCTGCTCCCCTGTCTCATGAGGGCCCTCGCGAGTGGTGGAGTGTGTACATCGACGACTTCGATAACTGCGAGACGGCTGGGTGTAAGGAGGCGCTCGCGAAGGTGGGCACTCCTGGCCGCTTGCAGGCCCTGATGAGGGAGAGCTACCAGCGGAATGCAATCCGCATCAGCGTGGACAAAGCCAACCAGAGGCAGCTCTTGGTCACGCGGATGGGTGTAGAGGTGGACGGGATCTCAGGCAGGGCCGCCAACAATCGGATAAAGAACGTGCAGCTGTACAGCCTTACCATGCGGCTCCTGACAAGAGAGAACCCCCCCGGGAACCAGCTCCTCATTCTCATGGGACGTTGGGTGAGGGCGCTAGAGTTTCGACGTCCTCTCTTCGGGGCGTTCAACTCGGTGTGGGAGCAGATTGGCTCGGGCCGTACTGTGTTGACCAGGGCCAGCCTGGACGAGCTGATGCACAGCTGCCTGCTGATGCCCCTCGCCTCCACCAACCTGAGGGCCGCTACCGCGAGCATCGTCTCGTGCTCTGACGCCAGCGAGGACGGTGCTGGTATGTGCACGGCCGTGGGGCTCGCAGAGGGGGCCGCGAAGTTCCTGGCATCTCTCGGGAGCCCTGAGACCTGGGGCCATCGCATTGCCAGCTACACCGGCTCGTGCACGATCGAGCCGACCAGGATCGCCCCAGGGGCTCCGCCGCGCGTCCTGTTGGTGAGCTTTTTGACGGCATCGGCGGCGCTGCTGTGTCGCTGGTGCGCGCTGGTTTCGACATCGTAGGCTACATGAGCAGCGAGGTTGATAAAGGGGCTCGCCGGGTGCTGAGATCGCGCTGGCCTGGCCTGATCGAGCTGGGCCCAGTCGAGGAAATTCACGACCGACAGCTTGAGGCTCTGGCAATGTTCCAGGATCGGATTGTCGCCGTGGTCGTTGCGGGAGGCAGCCCTTGCCAGGACACGAGCGGTGTGAACGCCGACCGACAGGGCGCACATGGCGCTCGGAGCTGCCTGTTCAAGCGCATACCCAAGGTGGTGAGCGCACTGTCTCTCGTCATGAAGGTGCCTGTCCATTGGCTTGCGGAAAATGTACTCTCAATGAGCGCAGAATCCCTCCAGGAGTTCTCCCGCATCCTCCAGACTAGGCCCATCAGCGTGTGCAACTCCCTCTTTACCGAGAATAGAAGGCCACGTTTGTACTGGTTGTCTTGGAGAGAGGCGGTCCTCAAGCTCCCCGGGGTGCACGTGGAGCCCAAGGCCAACTACGACCTCATCAGGGCGCTCCAGGTCCCGAAGGCTCCTGCTGGCTCTCGGGTTGCCGCAGGGTGCTCCAGGGCCTCGGACAAGGGCCCAGTCTGCACGTTTCTCCAGCGGCGTGAGAAGACTGTCCCGTACAAGCCTGCAGGTTTATCGACAGCGAGCCCAGAGGCCATCCAGAGGTGGACCCAGGACCTGCACGCTTACCCTCCGTGCCAGTACGAGCTAGTTCACATGATTCGGGACTCCAAGGAGGACTTGAGGCCCTTGTGTGCCACGGAGAAGGAGGTGCTCATGGGGTTCCCTCGCCACTACTCGTCGTCCGTAGCCAGCTCGGGCTCCAGCTGTGGCAGCGTTGAGAACGATCGCTGCGGCCTCTTGGGGAACGCGTTCGCCTGCTGCGTCGTTAGCTGGCTGTTCCTCGGTCTGAAGTGCCAGTTGGGCTGGCCCGTCAGGGCGACTGACCTCGAGGGGATCACGGGCGAGTTGGAGGTAAAGGACTTGCTCGACGAGTCGGTGGAGTTCTCGAGGGACCCCATCAAGGAGACCCCCATCGGCAGCAAGCTGGTCGAGATTTTCTGGACGATTGCCGAGAAGTCGGGGAGCGACATCCGCCTCGACATCGGTGTGCCTTTCCGCCCCAAGGCGCGGCCGCGATCCTCGATCGACCCGGCGCTGTGGCGCTGGCGGCGGACGCTGTCCTTTCCGTGGCCGAAGTCGTCGAGGGAGCTGCGTATCAACGCGCTCGAGTTGAAGGCGGTGAACGCTTCCTTGCGGCACAGGACTCGCACTACATCGTTCAGGAGCGTGAAGGTTCTGCACCTTGTCGATTCCCAAGTTGTGGCTTCGATACTGACCCGCGGCCGCGCGTCATCGGGGAAGCTTCGAGGACTCGCTCTACAGCACGCTGCTATACTCGTCAGTTCAGACTTGTATGTGGGCGTTGGGTATATCAATACCAAGCTCAACCCAAGTGATCGGCCGTCCAGGGAGTTCTTGACTCAGAAATGGCGCCGAAAAGAGTCCAAGTGACAGCTCGCGGCGGCAGGCGTCGCAGTTGGTTGCATGTGCGTTCTCAATTCTGTAAGCGAGGCACGCGGCTGCGTGACCTACAGGTCACTAAAGCCACGCGTGATCGGCATGTTCGACGTGCCGGTCGCCTTTTTGTGTGGTGGAGGGCGCACAGTGTGAAGCTGTCCTCGCTCAACGACGCGGACAAAAGCCTCAGCTTGTACACGGAAGCGCGCTGGGCAGAGCTGGAGCCGCTTTACCTGGTGGCCAATGCGACAGCGGCTTTGCAGTGGATGATGCCCTCCCTGAAGGGCAACCTGCAGCAGAGTTGGAGCCTGGTGCGAGCGTGGGAGAGACAGTGCACGCCCAGTCGGGCGACACCGTTCACGGCCGACATAGTCCTAGCCTTGGCAGCTGCAGCGTGGGACCTCGGCTGGGAAGGTCTGGCGGCCGCGATCCTCGTCGGTTTCGACACGTTCATGCGCACAGGCGAGCTGCTGGCTCTCAGACGGCGGCACATCCTTGTCAAAGGTGAGCGGGCAGTTATTCACATCGAGGCCTCGAAGATGGGACTGCGAACTGGCTTTTTCAGAAGTGGTTTCTCTCAAAGACGGAGTGTCTCGAAATATCCTAAAGTACAGATGCTTGCAGCTGGGGTCGGAAGATCTGCTGTGTGGAGCGACGGCGCCTGAAGTTCGGAGGAAGTTGTCCTGGTTGCTTCAGATGTTCGACCTTCAGGACCGAGGGTTCACAATGTATAGCCTCCGCAGAGGAGGTGCGACCGCCCACTTCACCCGCCATAGAAATATGGAGTGTACTCTTCAACAAGGCCGGTGGGGCGGCACAAAAGTAGCCAGAATGCACTTGTCTCAGGCAGTTGCTGACACCGTCGCCCTCACCCTTCTGCCTAGCACCAAAGATAGAATTCGAACTGCCGCTCTCCGCTGGAAAGATATTTTAAGACAGCTGAAGTTGTAAGACTTGAATGGTAAAGTCAATCCAGTAGTCCTTGCCTGATGGCATCAGTTTGAAATAGGTCGGCAGAGCCACAATAGGGGGACGTGAAAGGCTCTCGAGGGGTGGCCCCAGGGGATTAACACGTTCAACTGTGTTTCCTGGTGTTTGCGGGGCCAATTGTACTCGGCGGGCTGCCTTACCCTCTAGGGGTCAGTGCGGCCGGCGAGCCGAGCTCGCTGGCTTGCTCGCTGACCTGCTGGAGGGTGCTGGCGCTCGCCGTGTATGGGCCCCTGCCAGGTCCCGGTGGCCGTTTCTCCTCGAGTGTGCTTGAGCCTCTTGCACTTTGAACCTGTGGCGGCGCGACGCCCAAAAAGAGGAAGCCCCAAACATGTAACATAACACCCTCGGGGTTGGGCGTATGTTTGGACCTCTTAGGCAAAGCGCCGCCGTCGAGCGAGCAGGTGATGTAGTGTTCGCCCGACGGGCCTCGAGAGAGCTCAGGGTGAACACTCCTTCGCTCGATCGTTCCGTAGGTGTACGGCTCAAGCGGCCTTCCGTCCATCCCCAATTCTGCCACCTTTTAGGTCAGGCTCTCGAGGGGTGGCCCCAGGGGATTAACACGTTCAACTGTGTTTCCTGGTGTTTGCGGGGCCAATTGTACTCGGCGGGCTGCCTTACCCTCTAGGGGTCAGTGCGGCCGGCGAGCCGAGCTCGCTGGCTTGCTCGCTGACCTGCTGGAGGGTGCTGGTGCTCGCCGTGTATGGGC